GGTGAAGCCTCTCACCGCCCCTGAGCCTCTGGCCTATACCCCAGTTCTGTATGCACAAATAAATAAATCTTTAAAAAAAAAAAAAAAGAAATGTATTTCAATCATAACATGATCATGACAACACTTCTCAACGTTTCTTCTGCAAGGTTAAAATTTTAAATAAAACTTCTATAGGCCTTTAACCAATGCTTACCCTTTAAATAATGATAATTTAAAATAAACCAGAAGCTATGACAATGGATAAGATCCAATTCTCTGGTACATGTTTGACATGAGGCAACTTTTAAAAACCCTATACCTTCACATGCAAATCTTTTACCTGTTATAAATTATTGTATGAAAATGTTAGTCTTTAACTTAAAATTGACAGCTAGCCAATTAATATTTACTATTTTGAGATCAAAAGAGACAGGAAATAATTTCCTTACTGAAACATGAGCACACAAAACTTGATGAGTGGTAAAGACAAGTTAGAATGTGTGTGGGAGCACACCTGGGCAGAGGTATCACTGGATAGATTAAGTGATTTGGGGTGGGGGTAAGCGGCGCAGGGTCTGTGTTGAGGATGAATCTTTTCATCACCTTGTTCTCTTAGTCTGTGGATACTACTTCAGCAACAACTCCTGGCTCAATTACTTCTCAATTTGTAAGACTCTGCATGATTTGAAGATTCCCTGTGATTTAGACAGAGATTTTTATCCAATGGTACCTAGTTATGGGTTTTCTCTCATCTACACAGAACATCATGAGCCCTTTTAATCTGCAGACACAAGCTAAATAGCTTGGAACATTTCATATATTATGCATGCAACTATTATTTCACCTTCATCCTTTTGATACCACTGGACTGCCAATTATTTATATTGGGTCGCCTCCGTCTATTCTTTAACCTACTTTATTTTTCTTCCCAATGTCTTTCTTTTAGGATTTATTTTTGGTGTGGGTCAAGTGCACCATTCATTTCACTTTCCAGGTGATAAATTCAAATATCAGCAAAGCCACTTTCTTCTGATGATATTTTAGTCTGGAGGGGTGAGGATCACACTTTTTAGTTCCTCAAGGCTTGTTTGTTCCTTTGCTAATATTTGCTTCAAGCGTTCTCCTACCATGTTATACTCAGGACCGTGTCTGTTTCCTTGAGGAGTTTCATTTTGACAGGGAATGATCCTGTCTGCTTTTGTATGTCTCATCTTACCCACAGCTATATCTCATTCACTGGCTTCCTTGGCGGTAAGTCAGAGAAGGCAGATAGTACGGCCTGTGAAACTGTAGGATGATATGCTAAGGACCCCTTTCCCGCTGTCCAATTTGGGACAGAGAGGACTTGGCCCAACTTTCAAGTCACCCTTAGCAGCATTCAGAAAACCTTCAATTTTCATCTCCTCCTTGGCAAAGAGGGAGGCGGGCACACTGATGCTGACCTTTGCCCTTGGGGTCCAAGGATCTCTGACTCACACCTCTTCAAGTGAAGAGGGGGTCCAGACAACCCGATCTGGAGGGCTGCACCCCACTCAGGAGCTCTTGCTGAGCCTCTCCGAGCTGATTCCCAGGCTTTCTTCCTACCATGAGGCAGGAGGCCCCCAACAGTGTTCTTACTGGTGACTTTCAGGCACCCTCTGGCTGTTGGACTGCACCAACTCCTTGCTACCGAAGACTCGATGGGTTGGAATTTAGAATAAGGAGGGGAGGCAAATGACAGGCACTTTACAGCCACTTCCCCAGAAATGAGTCAAAATAAACTTGGTGGCTGTGTTTAGCTGTTCCTAAGAAAAGCCGATTTTGGAAGTGACATCAACTTTTGCATTGGCAGTCATGCTGATAAGGAAGGACAGTGAATACAAACATGTACCCTTCCTATTATCTGGTCCTTGGGGTATCAAAAAAGAGACAAAACAGAAAAGGGAAGAGACTAATGACAAGTGACTCTTACTTCATCAAAATGCCAACAAAACAGTCATGGATTGGGATATTTCTGGTGGTAAAAGTTGTTAACTGTCTCATGTTTTTGGGCGACCTTGCCTATTCAAAAACAGCTTCAATTGCAACTTTCAACAAAGAGAAATATCTCTATTGTTGTAAAGGATAAACCTTTTAACAAAAGGTCTACAAGAAAAATTAAGTACCGAGGAGCTAAAACTTCTATGAAAGCCATTCTGTTACTAAGGGAGCAGACTCCTTCTGGAAAGAATATGAAGTAAATGGAAGCACAATGATGAGGAGTGTGCTTTGGGAAATTTCTGGTGACTCTTAACCAGGCAACAGAGCAATAATCCCCAGAGAACAAACCTAAGTAGATTGGCCATACTTATGGAAAAGGGCTCCCTTATAAAAGGATCTCAGTGTCTTTAAGACTTAAAGATAAAGAAGGCTTATCTGATAATGATGCCCTGAATCAAGGAAGAGCAGGATTAGAAACCAAGAAGCACGTTCACCATGACACGCAATTACCACAACAAAGTTCTGCACCACGACAAAGACAAGGCAGAACAATAGCCAACCAGCTGACAAATACTCCGTGGATAACGGAGCAGCTTTTCATAAAGGCACTTATCGGTCAACTGAACCTGTTTCGAGACAGAACCTTGCAGACCTGATTCATACAAGGTAGCACCAGGTAACTTGTACTTTTCTTCTGCTTTCTGCATCACTTGTCTCATCGCAAGTGTCATGTGGAAGACACTTGCAAAATCAGTGTCCTGAAATAATCAAATTAAACTTTCTCGAGCACCCTCTTGGCTTTTTAAAGCGGTTTTACATAAAAAATCCCTGAGACTAAAGCTTGCGCCGAAAGCCCTTCTGAGGAGGTGGAGTAGACATCCTCTTTCCTCTGACCACACACTTTATTTACATCTGGCCGAAATCCCCACTGCAGAAACCTGAGCTACTTCCTGGCTTTGCAGCCTCAGATGAGATAAATGATCCCTCTGGGTCATTGCTTCGAAATATACCTGAACTACTGCCTGGCAGGAGCAAGAGCCAATTCAGGTTCTTAGAACACTCTTCTAGCATTTAAAAAATAACCATGGACAGAATTCAGAACTTTATTATAACATGAGACCTGGACATAAACGCTAATGCCATGCCATCTATTAGTGATGAAGGATCAGGAACCATGACTGATGTGGCCTGGTCCTTCCCATTGCCTACATGACACGCCAGCATAATTTTGTGGGTTTTGAAATGAGGCAGGCCTCTAGCTTTTACTTACTATGTTGGACTGCCAGGGAAAGGGACAAGGACACATCATTGCCAGAGGCCCCACCTGAAACATACAACTGTTATCACATGTGCCCAAAGTGTCTGCCTTGTCATATGCTCTCTATATTAATATAAATTTCATTAACAACATAGATTTAATATATTAAATCCGGTTGCACATCGAGCATCAAGTATTCTTTGGATTTGGGACACGACACTTCTGATCTATGCTCATGTAGAGCATAGAAGTTTCTAGGTGTGGCCAGCTCAAGTGACACAGATTATTCCTTAGAGACCATTGAAGCCTCCAGAAGAACAACATCACTCTCAACACTGAAGACAGATTACAGTATTTCACTGTTAAAAGACTCAAAAATCAACCTGATGACTATAAAAATGATGTTACTTATTATTTTTCTCACTCTAAACTGTGCTTCTATTTTAGAACTTGCTTTACAAATAATCATGATCTTAAAAGTCATCTAGTGACTTACTTCCAAAATTACAGCGCCTTTGGTTGTCCAGCTCAATGCTTGTCTCACCTCTAGGCATCAAAGCAAGTTTTATCTAAGGGACTCTTGACATATGAGAAACTGTTCTGAAAGCTCATGAGAGAGACTGAGCGGCTGAGCACAGACTTTATTTGCCTCCAGCCTAGACCTCTGCTACAGTACTCTGACGGGCTCCCTGGCACTGTGGCCGCAGAAGAGACAACGGCCCACTCCCCATCATCACTGCTAGTGGACAAGAGCTACCGCTCCCAGCAAGTGAAGACAACCATCCACCATCTACTTTAGTAAATTATAGAACTAGTCTACATAGAAGTATTTATACACATGGACACTATACAAAGATGTCCAAGCACAGAATTCAAAGCTCACTTTCACAGAGAAATATGACTATGCAAAGCAAATTTAATGTGGTCTTCTGATGAAAGGAGGATCTGGACCGAGTTGCAGCTCAAAAACTTTGATCATCCTGCCATGTCGTTAGTATTTTATTATTGCCAAGGTCATGGAGTCCTTAAGAAATGCAGCTGTAACAGGAGTTAGAGCTGGGCTCCACGTCATTGTTCACCATGCCATCATGGTTTCTCAGAAATGTCCCTCCTTCTTCGGTATCTGCTAGTGATATTTATGAACAGTGACTGTCATCGAAAATTATCCCCACAGGTCTTCCTGAGTTTCAGAAGTGAGGGAAAGAGAAAGTGGAGAGAGGAAAGCATTTCCTTTATTTCTGGGCTTCCATCTGAAGCAGCAGCACACTGACCTAGCCTCCTACCACCTTTGGACAAATGTAGGAAAATGACAGCCCCCCAAATAATGAGTGGTTTTTATTCTTCTTTCTTAAAAAAAAAAATATTCAAAAACTACAAAAAGATACAATCATTTTAATACAGTGTAACTTGGGAACTATCTTATCTAAAGCAGCACAGGGCACACTGTACTCAATAAGGCACCCTGGATATTTCCCAGAATGATTCTTTCCATGCCCCTTAGCCACAAGCTCTGGGAGGTGAATGCAATGTCTCCCTTGCTGAGTGCAATCCCGGTACACACAGCGGCAAGCAGAGGATGGGCTCAACCGAGCAGTGAGCCAAAGGTTGACAAAAACAAAAAGGACATTTAATTAGCTCAGGGGCCATGTGAGTGTGCCTTCAGATTTCTACTTACTGGGAGTCACTGACCAGTGGCCCCTCACTACTAGACCCTGAAATCCATTGTCTCTCCCGAGTGCCATGTTCCCATGGGCAGCTGCCAGCCAACGGCAGAGGCCTCTAGGACCGGAAGACAAGTTCATTCTGATGGACATGGGGCTGCCCTGGTGGCTCCCTCTCCAAGGGACCCCCAAGGGCTGTTCAGCACTTCTAGATGCACACAGGTTGAGGATACTCCTTCTAGTTTTTCCTCTTTTTCTCAGCCTTGGCTCGCTCCCACCCCATTTTCTCTTTCACAGTATTGGTTTAATAAAATGCTCATGTGGCTAGATTTGTCTTGGTCACCGCTTCTTAGAAGAACCGGAGTGACACAGTAAGAAACTTTAAGACTGAGCAACTCTGAAAAATTCATAGCTCCATTTTAGCATCTATTTCACTATCAATTACTATGCTATATTAAACTATAATCACATACTATATAACATTTTATTCTAAATTTACATGCGGCACAAAATTTGACCATAAATTTTTAGTCTTCTTTGAATTACAAGTGACTTGCATTAGTCTTTGGTTAAGATCCATACCTTTGGCACATGGGAAATAAATTCCTACTTATACTTTTAAGAGAATCAATTGATTCAGACTACAAAGTTCACTGCTGAATTTGGACCATGATTTTATTTTTCAGCTTGAGTGACGTGCATTTTAATAATATGCTATTCTTACAGAAACACCAACATCTTTAATTCCATACTAATCTCCCCTATTCACTTACAAAAAGAAAAACCCATTTATATAATGAATGTTATTATTCTACTGTTTGATTAATGCAATCTTCTTCAGAGAATGCAGATCAGCTTCCCAATTGTTTTACAATTTATTGAACATTTTTATTCACAAAAAAAATATTTTTGTCAAACACACTGGCATCAGATTTGAAGATGTGATTTCTTAAAAAATATAGTTGTATCAAGTTATTGCATAATAGTTAAAAGATTTTTATCGGGTGTGACACACTTTTATGTAAGACCTCTTCTCAGACCTTGTCAGCTTGAGGAACTCTGCAGATCAGGATTTGTTTTATTTATTAGCTCTTTTTATCACTATAGATGAGTTTATATAATTTATACTATGAAATGCAGAGTTGTTTAGTTAAGCTTCTCAATATCTAAGCAGTACTCTGCACGTATCTTTTCTGTCCACTCTTGCATGCGAGAAGAACACTGCAGCTCAGGATATTTGCCCTGTTTGTTCGGAAAATAAGAGGACACAATTTTGGTGCTCATCACAGTCCTAGAAAGTCTATAAATATTTATAATCCCAACTATTAACCTTCTCGAGGGCCAATATTTTGATCATTCACCCATGGGTTTAATCAAACACTCTCAAGATTCTGAGATTATGTACAGAGAATGCAAGGAATGATTAATCAAGGTACAAATAACTGAAAGGTCAAGAAATAAAAGATTCCATTTACAATCCTGGACAAAATGTTCCAGGTTGGCTTCAACTATCAAACCAGAAATGGAAATCAGACTAGGCATAGCCCCCGCTCCTTGCAAATAAGGTGGAATTTCAATACTCTTGATAATTATAACTAAAACGTAAATTCCTTTCTAAATTACAGTCCCCTTGTCAATTCAGTGCTTACTGGGCAATATGAAGAAACACACAAAGATCCTGATGTTAAGATAGGAAGAGTGTTTCTACTTCAGGGCTATTATCAGAAGTAACCGGTGGAGAGAGCTAAGAATTAGAAGATTATTTAGATCAGGGTCTAACAAGAGTGATGACAACCTTTCAAGGCAGACTGGAGCCAGCACCTCCAAAGCACATTCACAAGGAAAGCTGTTGCTTTCCCCCACCCACTTTCCCTTTTAGACTGAATCCGAGTTGTAGCATTAGAGCAATGTCTGCATGTACTTGGCTGTGCTTTGACACACAGCCTGTTAAATCTGTCTTTGTTATTTGATATTTTTGAAGTGAGACAACTAAGTCATGTTTCATTATGTGGGCCTGACATGGGGCAGGCCAGTGTCAGCCTGTCCCAGGAGGATGCTGCTCACCCCACACCAGGCCCCTACTCACAGATAGACACACTGCTGAGAACAGGCAATTTCTACTTTTGACTACCACTCACCACTCACTTCAGAGATAAAATAAGACAGGAGGTTTCTAGTAGCACACACACACACGTGTGTGTGTGCGTGTGCATGTGTTGACATCACCATTAGGAGAGAGCCCTTCCCTTTCACTTACCTAAAATCCTGCCCAGGACAAGAGATTTGACTGCACTGAACTCTGTACCTGAAGACAGGTGAACTTGTCTCTTTGTATTCTCATCAATCTACAAGGTTGTTACAGGAGAGACGAACATCCACGTGGGTGCCATTTTGTTGGAGGAACCAAGGGAGCAAAAGAAGACAAAAGGAAGCCACAACACAGGCAAGAGTTAGTGTGGCCCCAAAGAGTTAGAAAAACACAGTTCAAAGAGCTAGCCACTTACACAGCTGACTATTACTTTCTAAATTTGTTCTGTATGGTGCTCAGATATCTCTGCACCCCTCTCTGTATCCCCTTATATCAATTTATTGTTCTGCACTGTAAAAGAAATCCAAAATTGGTAAGGCCTGCAAAAAAGATAGGAGTTATTTTCACCTTGGTACTTTCATGGAGCTGGGTATTTTACTCAAGTCACTCAGCTAAGAAATTTTGCCCTATGAGAAGGATGAAACGGTAGTGATTTTCTTTGAAAGCTGGTAGAGTGAATAATCCCACTTTCTCTGCTGTGACTCACATTCTTTCAAGAAATTTATTCTGCTAGTGCAATCATTAGTAGCTTTGCTTGAGTTATGACTGTATTTAGACCCCTCTGAAGTAAACTGGCCCCCCTGGGCAGCAATGCCTGACCTGGGAAACTGGACAGCACTTTTCCCCTGAGCAAAGCAGAACCAAGGGGGAAAATGCCTGCTATTTTTAAGGACTAAATATTTGATACTATCTCAGAGAGACTCTTGTCGCTTCAAAATCCCTGACCACATCTGATGGTCTAAGATGTGTGTAAGACAGGTCTGGAGAGGACGTCTCTGTTTACTTCCTCCATTATCAGATTTCAGCTATCATCCGTCCTGTCACCCTGCTTCTGCGGAACTGCCTCTATTACCTCAACAAAGACCACTCCTTCTTCTCTGTTAATCTGTAAGTGGTGAAGCTGCCCATCTGCCATGTTCCTGAAGTCAAAGCTGACGACATCAGGTTCTTGATATCTATTCAGCTTGTATCTGATCTGCAAACTTCCTAAAATTGGAGAGGAAAGTTATGTTTTAGTTAAAGTTGCCCTTCAAGAGCGACTCATAAAAACTCAGAATTCATTTTTGTTATTTATATTTCGGGGGGGAAATTTGCAATAGTTCATTTGCATACATCCTCTCATCACAATTCCTAGAAGTCGATGACTGCGTGGAATGGCACTACTTTCAAAATCAAGACCAAGTATGTTGCTAACAAGCAGTGTCTTCCCATGAGTCTTTACTTTTCCCCTAAAAGTCAAACACGCAATTAAGCATATGCAAATCACTGCATTAAAATAAGACTCCATATATTATGCCAAACTACTGTGGAGTAGTTTGGAGTACTGCGGTAACAGTTTTTATAATCTCATGTTTTACAAAATATATCTACCACTCCTGAAATGTAATTGATTAAAAAAATTTTCATGAGCAAATGTAGTTTTACTAAAGATAGAAATACCTCCCAATGGTGTTGGTCACAGATTTTGGAATGAAATCTGTTGGTCACAGATTTTGGGTGAAATAAATGGTTTTAATCCTTACCAATAATTACAAATTAATACAATTCAACTGTTTGCAAAGATGTCAGTTGATTTACTTCACGGGGTATCTTCTCATTTAACAAAGAAGCTGTTTTAATAGTATATAGGCTCCCTGATCAAAATATAAAGAGAGAGTCAACATAACTATTGAACAATATTAGTTTTATTTTGGTGCTCAGAGCCCTTGGGACCATTTTTAGCTGAAATGATTCATGTGCTGATAAATGGACTTATTTTCCTCATCCAGAGAATGTGTTTAGAATATTTTAATCTTTATTCCGGATGTAGGGGAGAGCAAAACAAGAGTCAGTGGTCTTAACCTGCATGACAAGGCCCTGAAATTCATGTACCAGCATTTCCCATTACTGTTTTATTGCCTGCAATTAGAACCAAGGGCTTAGTTTGTGAACATTTTCTTATACATAATACTAGTTTGCTAACATTTCCTCAAAACTTCCTACTTTGAATTGAAGGGGATTTTTTTATGTACAAATAGTCACTAAATCTCAAAAAAGGAATCACAAAACTGAGAGTGACATTCATGGAGAGTGACATTCATGAGGAGCTTTAAGGAAGGAGAAAAATAGAAATATTGTTCACAAATAAATGAAAAATTTCCATTGATATATAGGATTATCAACATTATAAAGACAGTAAAGCATCTTGCTTATTTTAAATAACCATTTTCAATTTAGATTGAACTTATATAGAATAGTGCTGAAAAACTAAAATGAATATAAGAAACAGACATGCCATTTTGCCCACTGGTAGTTGGAGAAGCAAGAAAATGAAAACGATTCATATTATCACCGATCTAATGCTCTAATTCAATTTTCTCTCTCATCTAAAAAGCACTCACCATTTTTGGCAATGATCACGGAGAGGTATTCTTTGTAAAAGGAGCTCATATAGAGCAGTAGGCTTGGTGCTCGTGTTGTTCGGAAACTAAATCTGATCATTTCTCGGCTCATCTTCCTATCACCATGAAATGACGCGGCGTGGGAGCTGGAATTTTTACTTAAGGAATAATTTTCTTGAAAATTGTAAATCACAGATGAGCCAGATCCAAAATATGCAGAAATCTCTGAAATGACATGTCAATTTGGGTTAACAAAAATAAGTATCCGGGTCTTGTTTCAGTTATATTCCGGGTCTTGTTTCAGTTATATTGCTACTTTTGTAATTAAAAAGAATGAATTGTATAGTTAAAGCAAACAGCCCTGAACTACAATTAAATAACACAGTAAATTAATAGAGCTTTCATGATGATCCTTGAAATGGTTTTATGTCAGAATTACATATAATTAATTCACCAGTTAACCTTATCATTGAAAGCTTGATGCTTTCCTGTCTGACTTCAGACATAAACTAGGTCACTTGGCTTTCACCTCTTTACTATCCATTTTCTTGTTTGAATGTTAACTCCCATCTATTCTTTTGTAGACAGAACACACTAGTCTTAATTCTAATAGCTAAGAAGGAAGTTACTTAAAGGATCCTCTTACCTTCCACAATCAACAAGCAGGTATTTCCTTTATACCTAAAACCCTTCGTTTTATTGTGCGATATAAAAAGTAAACCCAGTCTACCATTCATATCATAGAGGGAGGTGGGCATTTGGGCAGCAGCGATCGACACTGTTACTACAAAGTCACTTTAAAATCATTTTACAAAAGCATTTGACACACAAACACACAACCAGACATGCATATGGGAAAAAGAAGAGAGAGTATGAGGGATGATTACTTTCGGATCCATGAGCCCCGTTTCTCTTCACTACTACAAAGGGCGAGGGTTGCATGTGAGTTGGAGAAGACCCTTACCTCAAATGAGTAAAAATCCGCAGTGGAAATATGTCCACTGTAGCCAGTGGTCATCCAGGAAAGGGCACCCAATGCTCTCCTTGGGTGGTTTCCTTGGAGCCCACTTACCATCAGAGCAGAACGGCCCAGCATAAGCAGAGAAAGTGCAGTCACAGGAGAAGCCTCTGGGCTTTTCTCTGCATTGGCCCCCATTTCGGCACAGCTTCCCATAGCTGCTGCAATGCCCTCGGCACCCTGGCTCCACGCCGGGCGTGACCTTGGCTCTCCCCTCCAGGTCCAGGGCCATTCCGTTCAATTGCAGAGCTCGGATACACCCCAGGAAGCCTCTCTGCCGTGTGGCTGTTCCACCTAAAAGGGAAATACTGCAAATGGAAACACGTCCCTAGGTGTTTTACTCAGGATTTAAAGACCAAGCAAGACTGAGGCCTCACAGAGACTGGTCAAAAACTGGATAAACAAAATAGGACTTCAGAAACACTGTTTGTGAGAAAAGACTTCCTGAGGGCCCTCCCCGGTGGCAAAGCTGGTTTAAAGCACAGCACTAAGAAGCTAAAGCCACTTGCCCATGAGTTCGATATCCACCTGGGAGGTGACCCACATGGTGCGGCAGACCTCTCCTGACCTGCCCGCTGCTCCCTTCAGCAGTGTACTTCATCAGTAGGCCTGTTCTGTTCCCCACTCTGTCTCTGGTGAATCCTGTCACCGCTCCTGTACCTCTGGCCTGTATTCCAGTTCTGTATGTACAAATAAATAACTCTTTTTAAAAAAAGAAAAAGACTTCCTGAAAGGCAGAACAGTGATCCCACTCTTGAAGAAGTTGTATTAAATACTTGTTTTCTAAAAATGATTTGTTACACTTTCAGCTGGGTGTGTTGTCCCCCCCCCCCATTTGTTCCTCAATTTCAAAGAATAAAGGCTGTATCTTCTCCGCTCCAAAATAACAGTAATATGTGTTGATATTCTTACACAGAAACTATTCTGGGGGCTCTCCCTGGTGGCACAGTGGGTTGGAGTGCTGCACTGCGAAACTAAGCCAAGTCAAGGCTGCTTCAGTGTGAGTTAGATCCCCATTTCTGTATACATAAATAAATAAAACTTAAAAAAAAAAGGAAAGAAACTATTCTAGGAGCTATTTTAAATTAGCATATACTTGTGAATTAAGTGTGGTTTGTCCTTTATAGCAACACTTGCCCCTGACACAGTTCAGAAGTCATGAGGATCACAAGGAACCTTTTAGTCTTTCTACCTTGACTCTATCATGTCTCTGTTGTTCTCCCAGTCACTAAGAACCAGATTATTCGCTTTTGTTTGGTGTGTTTCCCAGGGAATTTTTTTCTAAGTGTTGGTCTGATGTTCCTGTGTTAAACTTGGTAAGAGTCTCAAAAAATTGGGATCAATGAAAACACAGTGGTTTATCAGAAGCTGAATAACACAGAACAATATGCATTTATCAAGTCATCCTGGAAGAGGTTTACGACGTTTGGGTAGAATCAGCCTACATGATGCTAAGGCAGAGGTTCTCAGACTTCAAAACCTATGAGTATCATATGCAAGGCTTCCTAAAATTATAGATTCAATCATCTGTGCCAAACAAACAAACAAAAAAATGTAATTCTGTGGGCCATGACTTACATGGTCAGCAAGCATTCAGGAGGCATTCGGATGCCATTTCAGTCAGCATAAAGCACTATCCTCACAGGTGGCCCTGCATCAGTTTCCTGTCCAGAATCCCTCAGAGCTCAGGACAGGATGTGGGGACACAGGGGCAGAGTGTCCCATCTACTGAGAGGGAGCACGATCTTCTCCACACCCCACACATACTTTGCCCCTATGACAGACGCACTCCTCTCCCACCCGGTATAGCTTGCTCCTCATCTAGCCTAAAGGATGTGAAATCGCCTGATGCTTAAAGCTCAAATGGAGTTTCCTGCATGTATTTCAAAACCAAAAATTAGCCTGAAAGAGCCTATATAAATGTTCTTTCTCATCACCAACAGATGTTACAGTTCACCAGCTCCCTTTGTACTTTCTGAGGTGCTCCAGTTGAGGAGAGCTGCTCCAATCTCAGTGTCCCCGGACATAGCAGCCAGGCAATAGCTATTTGTAATAATTAGCCAGTAATTCAAATCAACTAATAATTCTCAATTAATCTATCATTAATAATTAATCCAGCCATTCATTATTGGATTCTACTTTTACGGAGGTTAGTGACTCAAGAGTTAAAGGATTTTGTCCCACAGGCATGTCTGTTTCCTTATCACTGAGGATGTGGATAAAATCCAACGAATATTTCTAAACATATTATGTACTTTTTTTTTGACAACAAGTACCATAAAGAGTACCAGAAGAATTCCTGAGAATTCTGGACTCTTCAGTGAACTATGGAGAATTCAGTTTCACAGGTAAATCACTAGTCAAATGGTGGTATTTAATTTTCTATACTCAAGTTTCTTTAGTGAACAGAATCTGTGCTTCTTGGACGAGTAATACAACAGTCGGGATACGGGTCAGATTTTCTATTTATAAATCCAGGTGTAGCTTATGGAGCCAGACACACATATTCCAGTTCTTCAGGGCATGGCAGGATAGGCAATGACTTCATCTCAGAGTTTCAGAACGGGGTCAATCTTCTTGCTTACTTTTCCTACAGTTACTCATCCACTGGTCATTCTCTCTTTCTCCTTTATCCTCACGACTCTATTGTCCTTCCACATCAAAGTTACTTCTCACCTTAGTTTCACCTTAGTAACCTCCCTATTACCTCGCTCTGCTAACTTGACTCAGGAGAACTGTCTAAGGCTCAGAGGTAAGTGGAAAAAGAGTCTTCTGGTATCTTCACTGGAGGCGTCTTTCCTGGGTATGGCAGCCTGTAGCCTTGGCTCAGGAACACCCTGGAGCAGGGCCAGAGGCCTTACAGTCTGGATTCAAGGTGTAATCCTGGTGCATTTCATTTACTTCATGTTAGAGTACTTTAAATCAAGGTGTATAGTTTATGGTACACAGTGACATTAAATCACGGTCGGTTATGCATTTGTCACTGAAACGTCCTTAGTCTCTCTGATTTAGGGCTTTATCTCAGTCTGCCAGTGACATAACAATAACTAAATAACTTGGAATCCAACAACTGGATACAATCCATTTTCATGTGTTCTGATTTGTTTATTCTTGTTTTCTTTTGTTTTAGATGATGAACTGGAGGCATAGGGAAGTTCAGGGCTAACTCACGAGCACAGCTGAGGAAATAGTACAACTGACATATTTAGCTAGAGGCAGAAAGGTAGGACTGGAACCTATAGTTGGTCGTTTATTATAAGGAAGTCTCTTTCCTCTCCATAGCAAAACAGGCTCAAAGAAGATTTCCTGGTGCTCCTACCCACAGCTCATTTTTGGTTTGAATGGCATCTCAGTTCTGCATGCTTTATTTTGCAGCTACCTGTCTGGGCACTGTGTCCGAGATCTTGAAGATACAGTGTTTTTTGCAAGTGATCTTGCTCTCAAAGGGTTTTACAGTCTAGCAACAGACTTCACAGCAAAAACAGAATTCAAGAGGATAAGTCAACAGAGAGGGACATTAATAGGGAAAAAAATACTCAAAATACTTGTGTACATCATATTTGCAGTAATGAGGAGGAAATCAACTTTGTAAACAGAACTTAGTTGTGTGCTTTCAAAGAGTTAATGTTTACTTAATGAAATAGTTATTTCAATGATCAAAAAAACATAATGCCTACATATTTTTCATCATACATGTACTGAGAATTTTTAAATTACCAATAAGTTTAAAGTTAATAAGTTTTTATTTTAAGACATAATTATTCTGGAAAACATGGTTAATGTAAATAGGTTTTGGCTTGAAAGCTTAATTAAAGATTCCAATGCCTTTTCAGGGTTAGAGTAGGTCCAATTAAAATGAGCTGCAGCTTGATTAATTGATTCTGGATGTTTCTGCTGAGCTATTATGTTTGGAGCTGTCTTCCAATTAATTTTCTATCAATTTATCTGCCATACTCTATCAGATATAATGAATTCTGGAACTTCACAAACACTGAGTATCTTGTGAAACAGATGCCTAACCTTTCTGTGTGAATGAATGTTAAGTGAATCTGCAGCCTTACGTAAGAGTGTTGAAATATTGCACCTAAATAACGATGCCAGGTGCCGAGACGAGGCTGCGTCCAATCCCTTCATCACACTCGTCACTCTCAGGAAGGAAGGGTAAGTGACAGACGCTGCTCTCATAGAGTACTAGCTGGCTTTCTCCTCTGCCAATTTTCCACTACTTCTATGGCAGGAAGACCTTTAATTTTCAAATGACAAATTATTTATGTGCTGTCTTTGAATACTACTGAGGAGTTAATTGGGAACAACTGCATAATTTGCCCAGGGCCTGAGAGAAAGAAAGGAGTCAAGATTTCCACATTTTGCTTTAGAGCTTAAATACGAGGGTTCATTTGGCAGAGCTCTCCTGGACTGTGGTACCATGCCTGAGAAAAGCAGCCTAAGGCCTGGCCACAGATTAAGTTAGGGTAGGAAAGTGAGAGGGGACACAGACTGGGGCCAGGACCAAGCTAAGGGGGTGACAGAGGCTTTCTGCACTGACTCTTCTGACCTGTCCTGCCCACCATCCTGGGTTGAGACAGCCTTGCAGAGACATTGAGTGTTCATTAAATAAAGGTCTGTGAGATGGGCATCTGGCTAAAACGATGTCCTGGAGCGCCCCCCACTGGGCAAAGTTCTGAGAGGGCTGGAGTGAAGGGGCTCTTCTCCCTCAAACCCAAGAACCATTATGGCTGAAGAGGCAGCCAGTCTCAGCAACAGCATCAGGGCAGAACAGTCAGTCACTTTTCCCTGAGCCAGAGCCAGTGGTGACAGCATTTCCTATCCGGTGGCAAGAACATTAGGGGACAGAGGTCTGCTTAGACTTCTTACTACAGGAGAAAGCCACAGCTCTCTGGTTTGTCTGTACTGAGGCCTGATTTAAAGAAATGAACATAGTGGTATTAGTCGTATTTTCTGTCCTCAAGATTTCCCATTTGAGTTCTGAGTTCAGTCAACAGTCATGAAGGTTTGCTCAGTGGACGTGAGAAAGGATACCAGGAGCCTCTGAGGCTAACCATGGAAAAGGTAGCTCACGGGGAGAAGAGAGTTGTGGAAATAAATGATAAGGAGAAATGTGACTTGTTTTACAATGTGCTTTGGATCTGGGGGGATACATTTGCTAATACAAAAGAAAACTGAAATAAAAGTTATTTGAACAGAAACTATTTGACATTCTCTTTTTGTAACTACGCTTTAGCCTATCAAAAACAAACTGAAAGTTAAAAAGAAACTAGACTGAATTATAATTA